GTGTGTGTGTGTGTGTGTGTGGATGGATGTATGGATGGATGGATATAAGTAGAAACTGAGGTCAATCTCGAGCAATCTTGATGGTCAGAAGACTGGATAAAAACCAAAGGAAAACTTATCTTAGATGATGCTTTCCCTCGAATGGACATTATTAAGTCAAATGTAAGGATATTATTTTGTTACAAGTATTTATAAACAGAAATATAAATGTTGTTATTTTTTTCAGAATTTTTGATTGAAGCTCACTCCGAATATGTGTTAGGAATATATTATGACAAAGTGGAAAAATTCTTTATGTGACTTATTACGTCTTCTGAGACTTCATCGAACTAAAATTATGTTTCCGTTTAAGTAACTACATCTGCGCACCAAATAGAGGGAATGCTGAAATTTTAAACTTTTAAAATAATTGTTTTTTAGATGTGTTTCGTATATGGTCTCTAGCCAATTTCGCAAATTTACTGTGGATGATCAAATGTGATTAAAGCATTTTCTACACACTTTTGTGTTAGTAAATTATTTTCTCCTTTAATTAGATCATCCATGGCAAGTTTGCGTCCATGTTCGAAGAATGTTTCACTTTTCTTAGGAGATTTTCTATTATCACAATGTTTGGTTTCCTTTCCTTTCCTTTCGTTGTTTTTTGAAAGGCTAATCAACCTCTATTGCTTCTTTAATGCCGAACCCTAAACTATGATATGTATAGCCTTAACTACATATATTTTGCACATCCTTTTATAATTTCAGGGTAAATATCACTTAAGGACAAACTAAATGAAATTAGCAAACATATAAATACATCTAAAAAAATATTAGTTTAAAATTCCAGCGTCCACTCTTTTTTTCATCCTCATCTGATAAAAAAATATATGTTTAATCTGATGTGCTATAGCCACTCAAACTAGAAAAAAGTGTCACAGCAAAAATGGGGCGTCTATTTCAAATAAGAATATCCACCAGTATAATAACATTTGATACATATGGGAGACGCAACGACTAATGTAGGAAATTTGTTTTCCTTCTGTCATTCAGTTACACATAGTTAAACTACGATATATAGGGGTAAGATAGATTAGATAGATAGATAGATAGATATCAAACAGGAGGAGAACAAGGTTGTCTTGCACCAATATTCCACTCATTCATGGTTTGATTGACTAAAACTTAATATTCCTAATCCTGGCGTGTACATGGTATCGAACACCGACCTACGATACCAAACTAATTTCAGCCCACGGTAGGAAAATCGATTTACTTATCTCACCCTTACCATTTGTCAATCCTATCTCTCGACATATCAATCTTATATCTATCCCTATCTTTCTTCGACCCTAGCCGACACAAAATAGACAGATAATTCCTTGTTTTAAGATTTCAAACCATCTCCTTTTCTCTCTCCAAAAACCTCTATTCTCTCTCCTCTCTTTCTCTCTCTCTCTAAAAATATCACGCATAGATCTTTATTTATATGTACGTTTTCATTTATTGTTCCACCCTCTCATTTAGGTCCACTTTTAGCTTCTATTATCAGATACTTCCGGCTTGCACTTCACGGACTTTCCACTCAGCCTGCGTCTAAAAATGGTCGCTGTGCGTCTAACGACATCTCTGCAAAGACGATCGAGAAAAAAGCCCACCAACGGTTTCTCAAAATAAAACAGCTAACAAAGAAGTTAGGGGCGGACATTTTCGGTTCGAAATGCAAAAATCAATTGACCGGTAGCAGTAGTTGTTCATTTAACAGAAAAAAGAAAGAAAGAAAACAGACTGAGGTATAGAAAAATAGATATGAACCTACTGAGATAGATAGATAGATAGATAGATAGATAGATAGATAGATAGATAGATAGATAGATATTTAATGGGGAAGAAAATATTGTTAGATACATATACGTCGATAGCTAGATAATGAAAAACTGACATAGATAGATAGATAGATAGATAGATAGATAGATAGATAGATAGATAGATAAAAAGAGTTTGATATTAAAAGAATTGGATATAGAGAGAGATAGAGAGATGGGAATAGAATAAGATGAATTTTCAGAGACTAAGATAAATAGCTAGGTAACTAGCTAACTATATAGATAGATATGTGACGTCACCAATGTGACGTCTCCCCGTCTGTCTCCGCGCCGTCCGTCTGATCCTGTCCTGCGACGACCAATGTGACTTGGTATTGGTCGCGGCACCAAACGTGACGTTCTATCCCTTTTGCTGATTCGGATGGGAATCTGGTTAGATTCGGTATCAGCCTTGTCGTTCCCAGCTCGCCTCCAACGTCTGGTTACCGAAGTAACTGCTTTGATTTCTAGTCTAACCTATCCACGTTGTGATTTGATCTTAGGTAGATGAAATCAATCAGTCGCCGGACCGAAATGCAAGTCGAGTCCGAACAAGGGTAATACCGCACAAGTATATGTAAAAGAAAATAAAGTAACAACTCGAAAAGTTCAAATGTGTTAAAAAAGAATAACAATATTTTATATCTGGTTGCTGAATACAGGACTGCGTCTTTCTCCCAAACCGCTTATATGGATTCGTGACACTTTGTGTTTGTTAGGCGAGTCTTAACATCTTAAGTTGTTTTTTTTAAGAAACTGGTTTTTTGGTGTATCTTCAGGCGATATTCGTAAAACTTGTTTTGGTGGTGTGAGTCTAAGTCATTCTTCAAAAATAAATTGTTCTTGGTTAGAAGTTGAGGTCGTGATGCGTGGATCTCACTCAGCTTTCTGCGAGGCGGGTCTCTCTCAGAGCTCAACAGCTCAACTCTGTCACCCAACTCCAACTCCAACTGCAACTGTCAACTCAACTGCCGTCTTGCTGCGACTCTGCTTATATGGACGCCGACCAAAACCTGTCTGGGCTTGTCGGGGTTTGAGGTTCCTTGATAATTCTAAATCCACAATAAGGATTTTTTTTGTTTCGGACAGGAAAATTTATTTTTCCATTTTTGGAAGTCCTTACTTTCTAGTTTAAAGGAATCGTCCTCCCAAATTCTTCCTTTCTCATATTGGTATCTCACACCAATCCCCTCAGAGGGCGTCAACAGGTTCCCCTCTCTCTCACAGTGGCATCTCACACCAATCCCTTTAGGGGGCGTCAACAGAACCTCCTCTCCTTTTTCATAGTTTACCTTCGCCTACCGCTCAGGCCACCCTTCAGCCAATGAACGCTCAGCAGCGTGGGTGTTTGCAATTATCGCTCAAAGGAAAAAAAGTATCTTCCTTTTTTTTTTTCTTTTCTTTCTTCTTCCCGACACCAAACTCCTACGACTCTTATCTTAACCGAACGTCGTCTGGAATTCGTCAAAGAGATTTTCGTCAAATAATCATTGAGGTTGGTCAATGATTTTCCGCACTCTGATGCCAATTATCTGTTCCGATAAAATAATTTTTCTATCATGGCCAGCTCTGACATAAAACAGGTTTTTTTCCCAAATGATATCTCCGCAGATAGTTAATGGTTCAATCTTTCCTTCTTTGTAACTTGTGGGTGGTCCAGCTGACATTTTTCTCGGTCAGTGCGTGACGTAATTAATATTATCTCTTAGCATTCTGTTTTGTAGGCCACTTGACCAATTTGAAATTTTCATTATTGCCATTATTCTCTCCGTTGTAACATAAATCAAATTAAATCCGACAGGGCCGAGATCTTACTTTCTTCGCTAATGAAAATAAAATCTTTACCACTTTTCTTTGTTAGAAAAATAACATCGCTCAGTGTCTTTTCGTGATAGCTTCTTATCACCTTAATTAATTCTCGCCGTTTTTTGTTTTCTTTTTTTCACGTAACCCTAAATAGTGTCACAGATAGATAGATAGATAGATAGATAGATAGATAATGAACATCTTTAGCGATGAGTTCCACTTCAGCTATGGGTTGAGCTTCAGTCCCAACAGGTGCTCAAATCACAGGTTCTATCTGAGAAGACTCATGTTCAGTGCAATCGGCAAAAATTCACTAGTCACGAGTTTGATTTTCGAGACATTACACATGACCAGCCAGTTTTCTCCCATTGAGCTGTCAGCTCAGAGGGGAGATCAGATGCTAAGTTCTGGTCATCTAGAGTTTTGGGAGGTTCACTCATATACCGTTGTATCATCAGCATAGATATTGATATATAAAGTACAAAAAGTGTTGAATCGAGAGATGTCTTGACGACGCCTGTGTTGTTCACTTGGGCCTTGGAAGATTGGTCGTTAAAAACTACCTTCAAGAACTGAAAAGACTCTTCCAGTGATTCTATAACTAAAGAGCTTGTACAGCAACTCCCTATGCCATACTTTATTGTCTTATGCCTCACTGATTCTGTGAGTAATGACAGAATTTCAGAGGTGAACCGAGCCGATGGAAATCCTTACTGCTTGTCACTCAGGAGTTTGTCCCTACTAAGGTGATCAGCAACCTTCTTGTTAATTATACCTTAAAAATGACACTAAAGAGGCTGATGAGTCTATATTAAAACTGGGATGAGCGCTTACCCACATTCTTAAAAACAGAGCAAATACTTGACATCTTCTACATTCTCCTTCAAGCATCGGTTAAATATTTTGGGGGGAAAGTTGGGAAGAAGGTGGCCTTTGTCCTCTAACCCTGAAGTTAGAGGCAAAAACCGTAGCGGAGAGCTTTGCCTTGTCCGACGAGGATGAGATGACTCCAGGGCCATTTATGATAGTAGTCATTGCCGCTTTGCCTCTTGTCAGAATTTGACTGGAGATTTTCCAGAACGCCCGAGATCCAAGTCGTTTGCTTTCGGCCTTGGCTGGAACTGCTTGTGCATAGCTACACTTTGCATTTTCTAGAACTCCCTTGCAATTTTGAGCAGTTCTAAATGCAACAATGTCTAAATACACATTTCCCTGTGATAGATATTTTAGTAGTGGTTACAATGAGCAGTTTTGGGTGCAGTATGTTCGAAGAAGGCTGATAAAGTAACTTCCGCCATGTATAAACTAAAGCTATTCCAGTCGGCTTTCGTGTACCGAATAAAACGTTTTATGAAACGGCACATCACAGTATGCTTTTGATTTGACATCGGCTTTGACTAATTAATGGTCTGAAGTTACCATGTGAGTATAACAGTTTGGCAAAGCATTTCTCAAGGAAGGATTTTAGGAAGTGGCCATGGTTGTTCGCATTATGTCCTGTTGCATCTGGAACACCGGTGGGATTGTCAATGATCTGTGTCAGTTCGTGGCAACAAAGAATTATCGGTCGTGTGTGACTTCTTCGTCGGTTTAGTTCCGGTGGTAAGTCCATTATTTGTGGCGATTTCAATATTCAACACAAATATGAAAGCTAACTGAGAGATATTCAGAGAGAATATTATCAATCATCTGAATTATTCAGTCGGCCATTACTGTTCCGTCATCCTGGGGTCAACAAAGAATGAAGACGAAAGTGAAGACAAGTGCCACTCACAAAAAAAACAATATTCAAAATATGTTTTAATTTTAAATAACACGAAGAATATGTAAGAAACAAACCTATCTACATATCTATCTATAAACCTACCTCAGTCTCTCCATATCTATCTATCAGTCTTCTTCAGGACTCACTCCATTCAAAGTATTACTCCTTTTTATCTTCTTTCCTTAATCCTTCTATCTATCTGTATATCTATCTATCTATCTATTAGTCTTTTTCTTCTTGACTCACTCCATTCAAAGTATTACTCCTTTTTATCTTCTTTCTTTACTCCTATCTATCTATCTATCTATCTATCTATCTATCTATCTATCTGTCTATCTCAGTCTGTTTCTATCTATCTACCACTGCTTGTTCATATCTATCTATCTATTTTATTCAGTTTCTATTTATCTATCACTGCCTATTCGTATCTACCTATCTATCTCAGCCTGTTTCTATCTATCTATCTATCTATCTATCTATCTATCTATCTATCTATCTATCTATCTATCACTGCCAGTTCGTACCGTATCTATCAATCTCATTCAGTTTCTTTCTATCACTGCCTATTCGTATCTATCTCAGTCTGTTTGTATCTTTCTATCTCATTATGTACCACTCTCTCTCTCTCTCTCTCTCTCTCATCTATCTATCTATCTATCTATCCATATATATATATATATATATATATGATTCCAGCGCGAAAGAAAAATTACTATGCTTCGAAGCTGGTCAGCAGTATTCACGTTTAATATTCAATACTAAGCCTAAACTACCGGGTGGCAGTCTCATCCTAAGGCAATGTTTTGGAATAACTATGCTACGGAATGTTTTACTCATTTATAGTTTTGAAGTGGAGGTGTGATCTAGGGTTTGTTTTTCATTATCATTATTTTTCCTGAATACTGCTGACCAGTTTCGAAACATAGTGATTTCTGTGTCGCGATGGAATCATATTTTTTTTTAAATAATTATAATCTCGGCCCTACTTGTGTATCGAGCATTGTTTTTAAAAATAAGAACAAAATACTAAAGAACTTCGGATCATCAATCTAACAGTTCTTTCCTATTATATCAATATATACGCATGCATACATATATATATATATATATATATATATATATATATATATATATATATTCATTTTTTTTCTATCTATCACTGCCTATTCCTATCTATCTATCTATCTAGATATAGATATACATATATACAGATAGATAGATAGATAGATAGATAGATAGATAGATAGGAATAGGCAGTGATATATAGAAAAAATGAATTTATATATATATATATATATATATATATATAATTAAGTTTTTTTTCTATCTACAGGACCTTCTAAACAAGGTAGTAATGGTAAGCAAAAAGACATGACTAAACACTAACTGTAAGAAGACAGAATGTGTGGTTGTCATTAAGAGAACAAACGCAAGAAGCCAACTATTAATTGAAGATGTCAACATCAAACAAGTTTAATTATATAGAAACTGTTTTTTAACAGAGGACGCAAAATACAGAAGATAGATTTGAATATGCATTGTGTTAGCCAATGATTACCTTTTCACCGAAAGCCGAGAAATGCCTGCTACACGTTCACAAAACAAATAAAGAAGAAAATTAATGCCAAGAATTCAAACTTTGTTTCCAATATTATATTTAAATGTTTTATTCATGGCTTCGCTTGATCGGTCTGTATGAGTATGTAAGTGACAATTTCTGCTGTCCCTCCGCTCTTCCTTCCTACCACACCATATGCCCATCTACACATGATGCGTGACTAGCAAAATGTACGGCCGCCCGGCATTGAGACTACCCAAAGGACTCTTTGTCCTCCACCAGCGGCGAACCAGAACTGACTTCCTCGGTCCCAACTGTGACTTTTAAAATGAACCATCAACCGGAAATTCTCTATATCTGGTTTTGTTGTCGCTTGACCTCAAATTCTTTCTATTAGATTTCCTCTTGTTCATCTGCAGTCAAATGGATCTCATTTAGAAGATCTCGGTTAAAAGAAACCGCTGGCTATAAAATAAAAACACTTGAAATCGAGATAAAATCAAACTTTTCTCTTATATGTTGTCGTGTCACATTTGTCCCCTTAGATTTAATATATTTGTAAATAGAAAAATAATTCATAGCTAAACTCTAAGAAAATGAAATAGCTGATTTAATTCACTGCTTGGACCCGTTCATTTTGTGCATTAAGTTTAAGAAGGATATTTAATTTTCGAAGTAATTAGAAAATAATTTAATATATAATTTACATTTCAGCTTTTGTTCGTCATTTCAGCAATTATTTGTCATTTAAATTACGTCAGCGTGAAAATTAATTGTGGATAATATTTACGTCAGTTTTAAATCGTTACAACTAACCTTGAAACGGAGTATTTCGAATATCATTTATCGTCCATAGTCAATCATGGCTCTCCACAATTTCTTTTTCTTTATCATCTTTTTTTTTCTTTTTCTTTTTTTTCTTTTTCTTTTTTTTTACAGTAAGGGTTAGCCTGTACAAGGCCCGGAGGCCACTCAAGGTAGATTGTTAAGTTAAGGAACAGTTTATATGGATAGGAGGGGAAGATCTGAAAACATTCTCTTTTTCACAGAGGAATGGTTCGCGAGAAGAAGCTGTTTGGGTGAACTTTTAGCATCCCCATAACACTTTCTTATCAATGTTGAATTTTGTACAAATCTGTGCAAAAAGTGGATCAAAGAGCTTACCCAGCTTCATACAGATTTTCAGGAAATATCAGCTTCTAATTGGTCGATAAACACACAAATGAGCGTTGCAATCCACCCACGTACAAATATTTTTCCAGCGCTTATAATCAAAGCGTCAAATTTTCCCGCCATGTTTCTGGTGTCCTATCACGTGGTTACATTAATTATAAATAGCAGACACGAGCTTGTTCATTCTTCTTCTTCCTTCTTTCTTCATTTCGCCTACGAAGATGTAACTTTAAAGGATTTGCGTCTTGACCATGTTCTATCAGAAGCCTATGAAAATATATTCACGCATGCACGTACGTACGAAATTTTCAAAACTACATCACAAACATACAAACATTTCCAAACAAGCAACAAGAGCTTTTCTCTTTGAAATATTTTTCTAAAGCTAAAAGTTTATTCAGCATTTCTCAGCTTTATAATTCATTCAACTTTTGTGAGCTCAGATAAAAATATTTCAATTTCATCAGTAAAACTTTAATTCAGCCAAAGGGACATAACACCAACAAAATAGTGACCTCTACGCATGTACATCATTACACAAAACTAAATATAAATGTTCTTGTTATAAAACTGTTTTTATTCCTTCTTGTTTCATATTTTGTGGTATTTTGTGTTAAATATAAATTCTGAGGTCATGCTAATAAACAGACATCTACAAATGGTCATATATATTAACATACTACAACAAACTTACTTCTCGGTGGGAATGTAGGTGGTTTGCTACTATGTAAGTAGTATGATAAATCCTTGCTGTGAAGGCTAAAACTGGTGGACCAAGGAATGTAGTTCGTCCGAGAAAATAGCAATAGAGTAACGAAAGGTGAGAGAGAGGTTCAAAGGTGGGAAATAATTCGTCACCCGCAAAGACCCGGAGACGCTTTTGCACTGTGAATTGCTATGACTTTTTATTGTTCTTCGTTGGCTCTTACCTAAGGCGAGAGAATCTAAACTACTCTGCTATTTATCCTATAGCTGAGTTACTAATATGCGAGTAAATTAACGTAACGAAATCGACTGCAGTTCGAACTCGGTTCGCCGATATCACATTAGGAGCCGCTATCCATCACCCCACATATATCTAGGGATCTTCTGGAAGATATACCAGATCATTTCAAAAGTTTGTGTACGATTTTTATTGTTAATATAAAATGACCACAACTCGACACTAGAGTTTATTTTGGTGCCAATTTCTGGTGTGCTTGCATCGTTCACTTGCGAGTCAGACTTTGTCAAACGCTGACACAAATATCCACAAATGAATGCCTTAAAGATGTGGGATTAATCGTTGCATTTATCACCATATTATGCTCTATGAATTTCGGAAAAGAATAAGCGTCGGAGCTACGACAAAAAGCATTTTATTTGAATGGACCAGAAAGTAGTTTCGCAGATTTCGCCAGAGTGATTTTAATCTAAACGATCAGCTAGGCTCTGAAGATCCTCGGGTTGATATCGTGGAGAATAAACAGAAGAGTTCGACTGGAGAAATTGCTAAGAGTTTGAAAATCGATATCTCAACTGGATTTCGCCATTTGAAAACACTTCAGTTCTTTTCCAAAATCGATACGTGGGTGCAACATTCTCTGACGAAACAGAACAAGCTTGATCGCGTTCTCTCCGCTGATAGCCACGAAAAGGAACCGCTCTTGGACAGAATTGTCACATGCGATGAAAAATGGATCGTTTATGATAACGTTCGATGCAAACGGAGTTGAAAACAAGCTTATGAATGAGGAGAACCTGTAGCTAAAGTGGGCTTGAATTCAATGAAGCTGTCTGTTTAGTGGGATTGTAATTCATTTTGAGCTTCTTCCAGCCGCTGAAGTAATAATTACAAGGAAGTATCACGACCAA